CACCCCCGCGGCTCCTCTGAGCCTGTGGGCTGGGTCTGGAAGGTCCCTCCCACCTGACCGTCCAGGCTGCATTTATCTGGGAGTTTCAGCCCCTGGGAGCTCTAGAGTTCTACCTTTTCTGGAGCCACCATGTAACATAACCTAGGCCCTCACCTGGCTCCAACTCAGCTGGCCCTTGTGGGCAGCCTATTCTGAGGGAACAAGAAGTTGTTTACATTCTTCATTTCTGAAAAGTCACGGGCAACTTAAGAAACGAAAGTAAAATCAGCTGATAGTGACATCAGCACAAATGTACAAAAGCTCAGAGAGCTGTTTACTCAGACGCAACTGCAAATGCAAGCAGGACATCAGGAGCGAGTCCTCTGCTATTCCTCGCTGCCACCCTCCTGCCTGGAGCCTGACCTTAGAGAGCCAGCGACAAGCACACCTCGCCGCCCAGACCTGGCTGCCTGCCCCCACTTCCCATGAGCGTTCCTGTGGCTCTGGCCCTCCTTTTTGTAAGTACCTCTCAGTTGGCCCACATGCCCAACGCCTCCTAAGACAATGCTGTTCTCTTAGGAGTTTGCATTCTAGCAATGGGCACGGGGGTGAAAATGGGCCCTGGGGTGTGCACCCGTCCTCCCGTTCTCCTCCTATGGATCGACCCGCCATCTCCTGCTCCCCCACCCTTCACTCTTCAGCATTACTGAGGGGCTCTGCCTCCAAAATGAGGATGGGAGCCTTGGTAGAATCCACTAGAAACACTCACACAGACTGGGTGCAGCAAAGCCTCTCACGGTCTGTACAAATAAATGTGTGCAGCACTGGAAACGCGATGTCCAGTACGCAGCCCGGCGGGAGCAGGTCACTGACCAGCACCTGTGGAACTGTGACTCAAAGCCACAAAGACATTGTGCGACCTTCTGGTGCACACTGAAGGGGGTCCAAAGAACCTGTGGTTTTGATTCAAACAGTACAGCAGGAGCTAAGAACTCCTCAGAGCCCCGGTTAGAGTATATCATTTCTCTTGCTCTGATGGAACTCCTGGTGGGATTTTAGTTCTCTTGATACAGATCTTTTTTAAATGTAGAATGTTTCACTAATACTTTAATAACGTCCATTATGCTTTTTCACATGTAAGAATCAGAGAGTTTGTTGTGTAGGGAAGAAGTGCATCCCTACTTCTTTCAGAACAATGGAAGTAAGTTTCAGCGTCCTCTTCTCATACTCCAAAAATGCTATTTCAGAGGTTCAGTTATTGTTACATTCAGTTAATAATTTTAAAATATATATCTTTTTTTTTTCAATTTGAGAAATTTTCTCACTGCTCAGCTTTCCCTCTTGGTCCCTCCTTTATGTAATCACAGCTTGTGATTGTCTGTTTTATAAATGTCACTTTTTCATAGCAAATGCCCATAATTCTGGAAATACTTTAATGGGAAAAGAAGAAATAAACAATTGCCTAAAATGTCACCAACCTTAAATACCACAGTGGCATCACATTTTAAATAATTCTTTAGCCTCTTTTCTAGACATTTTTACACTCACATGACAGTATAATTTTATACCTGCTTTTCCTAAAAGCCACAAGTTGTTCTGTCAACTTAATGCGTCATCATTTATTTCTTAAATTGGGAATTCTAGTTGCTTCCCACTTTTTTGCCAAAATAATACTGTGATGCACACGTCTGTATATAAATTGTTTGTTTCATTTCTGATTTCTGCCTAAGGATAAATTCATAAAAGTGAGATTACTAAGTCAAAGAGATATGACTATTAGGGGTAGTTATTTAATATACATTGCCAAAGTACCTCCAAGAAAATTTGCAAAAATTTCAATCTCTGGGAGAAATCCAGCTTTGCCACACTTGAAGTTTATTTAACTACAGATGTGATAAGCAAACACCTAAGTTATAATGCTTGACTGGGCTTCATGGCTGGTTAACCACTTTGCATTCTTTCTTGTCTTAGTTTCTGGCCTATTTTTAAGGAAGTTTAATGTCTTAACTGTTGGCATGAATATTTTGCACTTGGATGTATTTTCGTCATTTAATGTTTGTTGTGCACACATTTTCCATGCTCCTGATGTTTCCTTTGTTTGTTTTTGTTTTTGTTGTTGTTTAGTTTTGTTTGTTGTTGTTGTTGTTGTTGTTGTTTTTGGCAGGACCGGGGATTGAACTCAGGCCCTTGCACTTGCCAGGGAAGTTTATTCTACTGAGCCATCTCCCCGGCCCCTTCCTTTGTACTTTGTGTGAGTGTAGAAACCTGTTTAAGCAGTAAATTCTGTACAAGTTTTATGTGCTTTTCAATCCAAAATATTCTTTCTCATTCTTAAACCAAATGTTTACTTTTTCTACATTTTTTTAATGTTGGTTCTTGAGCCCACGTGAAATTACTTCAGTATGTGGCGTAAGGTGAGCACCTATTTTTGTTTTGTTTTTCTACTTTTTCCAAGAAACTCATCCACTGCCCGATCATTAGTGAGAAACTCTTACAGGCTCAAACCAAATCTCCTTCTGCGAACAGATCTTCCCCAGCCCTTTCATCTAGAATCATTCCTTTTTCATGCCAGATTCTCTTCCTTGCTTCAACGTTTATTTCCTTTCCAAAGCTTTTCAAAACTTGTAATTTTCTCTTTAAAAACGTGTTTGGCGTCGGCTCCTAAGAAGTGTACCAGCTTAGTCAGGGTGGCGTCTGTCTGCCCAGGGTGTCTCTGGCCAGTGCAGGGCCCCTGGTTCAAGAGATTCCCCCCAAATGAGCCATGGGTGGGGTGACAGGTGAGGCTCTGGCCTCCTCCCTGGAGGAGGACCAGCGTCCCCAGAACTGTGGGAGACACAGCGCTGGACAATCTCTGGCACCGCAGATCCTCCATCCACTTCGGCCTGGCCCATCTCCACCTCCCAGAACCACCGGGGCGCAGGCCTCCAGTGAAACCCAAACAAGGCAGTAGCTCCCAGTTTACAGTCATTGTCTCACTTCCAAAGAGTAGTTTTTAATCCCTCACAGTTTCTTATAACGTTTTTTCCTCAGCTTGAGTTATCTTCTGGAGAGATCAACACTGATTAACAACAGAACAATTGAACAGGAGGCATGTCTATTCATAGCACCGTCTAGGCAGCTGTTTCAGTGGCCTGTCATCCACACAGGGGCTTAACCTCACACTTCCGACTCTATATCCCAGTCTTGTGGCGTCGTCCCGTTTCTGCTGCTAAAGCTGCTTGTATTTGCATGGGAGAATTAAGTAGAACTAACACTGCAGCGCCCATAAGATGCTTGGTGGCAGCCACCGCTGAGCACATTGGGCTATCCAGGGCGCTGCCACCTAGCACATCCAAGAGACACTGTCGTCAAAGGAAACAAGACCCATTTCCCTTTCTTCCCTTTTTATTTCTGTGAGAGCCACACCCAGGCCAAGAATACACTGAATCTCAAATGTATTTAGCCACAAAGACTGAAGCCAGGGCTGGTGGCCTCCGCTGACAAACATTTCTCCTGGCTGCCGCGCCAAAGCCTGTGGCTCTGCCTTGGTTCTAGTTTTCCTCCTGGAGCAGCTCCCTCCCTTCGTGCCTCACCCCAGCCCATCTCTGTCACTTTTGCCTCAATTCCCATTTTCTCCCCTGAATCACTGCTTCCTCAGCATGACCAGGGCAGATATGTGCTGCTCTCCGTGGCCCCAGTTTGCAGATATTGTGTCCGTCTCACAACAGAACATGACAGGCGGCACCTTACAGAAAGCCAGTGTGGGGCAGAGGGTGAGATATAACATGCCCAAGGCCACAAGACTCAGAGTGACAGGACAGACCTGAAAGAGGTGAGGGAAGGAGAGGCGTGGCTAACTGCAAAGTCTTCCAGATGAAGGGAACAGCAAGAGACAACCAGGTCCTGATCCTACCTGTGGTTTGGGAAACTAGAGAGAAGCCATTGGGATGGAAGCTAAGTACCCTAAAGAAGCAGAAGAACTGCTGATGTTGCCCTAGAGAAGAGGCCTGGGTAGAGCCACTCTTCCTGGCATCCTGCTCTACTGTAGAGCTAGAACACCTGCTGGGAAGGAAGTAGACATTCCTCACCAGGAAGAATTCAGTCCCCGTCACCACATAGGGACATTCTCTGCCAGCACTCCAATCCTCTCTGCTTCGACACTGAAGGTTGACAGAGCACTTAGCAGACAAGGAATTTCCACTCCAGGGGAAGACTGTTGGGGTGCTCTGCAGGGTGCTGCCCCCTAGGGGAGGAGGCGGAGTCCTGGAGACCACATGGGAATGGCAGCTCACAGAGGTGGTAAACTCGGGTATGTGTAGGGAAACCAAGCAAGGCCAGCTTAGTAAAGTCTGCTTCTTGAATATTGTTAGATATTCAGGTAAGAGTGAATCAGAAGATGAAAACAGAATGGCTTGTTTTATATAAGATGGAGATATAAGATGGAGAGGAAAGACAAGTTTTATTGGATCCTAAATATTGGAATAAGTCTATACTAACTAAAGACCTGATTAGGAGAGTGACAAACAACAAATGGTAGCCAGGCACAGTGACAGATGCCTGTAATCCTAGCATCCTGGGAGGCTTAGGCAGGAGGATTGCAAATTCAAGCCCACCCTGCACGAGTTAGCAACTTTGCCTAGTACAAATGTCTGGGTTCAATCCACCATCTCTCTCACACACACATAAATAGAAGTTATAAATAAGTGTATGATCAGCAGAGTTACACAATGTTCAGCTAATAGATATTTTAGCATGGAGGGAAAAGATTCAACTGTGACTGAAGATGGAGACTGGGACTTTGAACAGACGCACTGTGGACTGTGATAAGATATCTTGAGTCTTCAACTCAAGTGAGTGCTGCTTCAGTATCTTCAGCGAGCAAGCAGCCTTCCCAGTGCCCCTCCGGGCAAGCATGCATAGTCACAGCCAGAGCCTGGACAGAACCAGGCCTGGAACTCACTCACCGCGTCTCAGTCTGGTGTCCAGGTGCACAGGCCAGAGATGTCCTGAGAGCTGCCCGCAGTTGGCCAGAGAAGTGTGTGATGCGCTGACCCTACCTGCCCCTATGACACACCCTCAGGGAAGGTTCCCCCTTAAAGTGAACCTGACAAGAACATAATTTAGAATTAAAAGACACAACGTGCCTCTGATACCCACCATCCCAGCGTCTTTTATTAAGATGATTACCGCAACAAGATGCGTAAATGATCAAACAAATAGCAGGCCACCTCCAACTACTCCGGCATCATCTGCCTTCCATTCCTCTCACTGGGCATCTGCTCCCCTCTGAGCAGGACCCACGCCCTCCTCAGACCTGCCAACCCAGAGCCAACAGTGCCTGTGGCCCAACCCTCACAAAGACCTGGAGTTTTCACTGTATCTCGGGCCAGGGGACCCATGTAGCAAGAGAATTCTGCTTTGCTGTGACAATGAAACGGCCTTTATTACAAGGGACTCACAGTGACAAAAGCTAAAACTCAAAATGCATTTTTTTTTTTGAAAAGAAGAAGAGCAGATAGCATTTTAGAAAGGGAGAAATACAGATTGCTGTCAATCACTTGAAAATGTTAAACGACTAACTCTGAAAAAAAGACAAAAAGAAATAAACTACTAACTCTGAAAGGACACAATAACAACGACTCATCCGTTGTCATCAGAAGACTTAGGAATGTGCAGCTTTACACAGGACGAGATACCTCAGCCTTCGCACATCCTCGGGTAAAATGGCACAGGCCTGAAGTCCCAGCTGTTGTGGACACTGAGGCAGGACGGTAGCTTGAGCCCAGGAGTTGAAGGCCAGCTTGGGTAACTCAGTGAGACCCTCTCTCTAAAACAGAAGCTGGAGGTAAGGAGACAGTCACTCTCTCCAACTGTTAGTGGAAAGGTAAACTGACTCACAAACATATGCACACTGTAGCACTATTTATATTATTAAACAGTGTTATAAAACATAATCTAAGGCCCAGCACTGCAGTGCACCCGATAATCCTAGCGCTGGGAAAGCTGAGGCAAGAGGATGGCTCTGAGTTTGAGGCCATCTACAAAAACTTTACATTACAATGTGGCCGTAGGAAGCCCCTAAGTATACCACTTAGGAAACATTTCTAATGACATTGAGAAATGTTTGGGCTATAATGATGTTGACAAAGTGAAATGTAAACACAGTTATGTAATCCTAATTACCCCATTTTCCTGACTATAAGACCTAGTAGAACATAACCAGTCTTGAAACCATGAGAGCTCAAAAGTGCCAGCCGCGCTAGCCCGTCCCTGCCTCACCCACCACCACAGTCATGCTTGGTAAGGCAGGTGAGCCAGGGATAGGCTGAGGGGGCTGGCATTTTCCATTGCTAGCTTTCAAGGCTGATTACTTTCCATCTAGGTCTTATTTTGAGGGAAGCACTAGGTAAGCAAAACATTAGAGAAGGAAACATAGTCATTTCTATGACTAAAAGTTGTAGGTGATTTTTAATCTTTTCTGTAAAAGTCTTCACATATTTTTCTAATTTCCTGTAGTCAGCATGTATTACTTTATTATAAACAGGAAAACGTTCATCTAAAAATGGCCACACTGACTCAGAGGTCTCCCCCCTGCCCTTTGTGCAGGAAGCCAGACTGTCATTAAAGGGTATGAAAACGCTGACTGCAGTAAGAACGTGATTGCCAGGATTGTTAAAAACCAAACCCAGCTGGGCCTGATGGTGCACACCTATAATCCCAGCATTCAGGAGGCTGAGGCAGGAGTATTACTGTGAGTTCTAGGCCAAGCCTGCTTTACAAAATGAGTTCAAGGCCAAGATGAACTGCATAGTGAAATCCTGTCTCAAATTTAAAAAAAAAAAAAAAACAGGGCAGATTCTTGGGGCAGCAAGTTGTGAGATTTCCAACCAAATGTCCAATACTGTCCCTGCAAAATGTGCTGAGGAAGAAGGGAGGATTCGTTTCTAGCCCTCCTCACCCATGTTGCTAGCGTCTGCTGCATCTCCCCTGGAAGCAGGGGCAGGACAGAGGCACTGGGCTTTGGCAGATGCTGCAGGTCCAGGATCTTGGCTGGAGTGTGGAGAAGATCCAGCACCAGCACAGGGGCCGGGATGTAATTCTGTGTGCAGGCAGGGATGGCAGCAATTAGGGACACCCTTTTCTGCACACACCTTGGTTCTCATTGCATTTTACTTCAGTCCATTCAAACCCTCCAAAGGGTCAGGTGAAAGAAAATGAAGAACTCCAAAACATAAAGGCTCCTTGCATCCAGCTAGGAGCTTGAACACGAGGTGGCCGATGCAACCCCACCTCCTAGGAGCGCGTGGTCAGTTTTGAAAGCTAGCTCTGTCTGCAAGTCAGAAATATTTAATCAATGATTTTATGCATCTAAGTGTAGGAGGACTCGCTCTTTGCCGCATCTCCCGCAAGAATGAAGACCGTTCTTAGCACTCAGACTGTTGACATTCCAGAAAATGTCGACATCACTCTGAAAGGATGCACAGTTATTGTGAAGGGCCCCAGAGGAACCCTATGGAGGGACTTCAGCCACATCAATGTGGAACTGTCTCCTTGGGAAGAAAAAGAAGAGGCTCCAGGTTGACAAATGGTGGAGAATCAGAAAGGAGTTGGCGGCTGTCCGAATGATCTGTAGCCATGTACAGAACGTGATCAAGGGGGTCATGCTGGGCTCCCGTCACAAGATGAGGTCTGTGTGTGCTCCCTTCCCCATCAACGTCGTTATTCAGGAGAATGGGGCTCTTGTCAAAATCTGGAATTTCTTGGGTGAAAAATACATTCGCCAAATTCACATGAGGGCAGGTGTTGCTTGCTCAGTGTCTCAAGCCCAGAAAGATGAGCTCATCCTTGAAGGAAATGACATTGAGCTTGTTTCAAATTCAGCTGCTTTGATCCAGCAAGCCACAAACAGTCAAAAACAAGGATATCAGAAAAATTTTGGATGGTATCTATGTTTCTGAAAAGGGAACAGTTCAGCGGCCAGATGAGGAAGATCCAAGAGTTAATCCAGCTACAGAAACAAGTTTCTGGATTGTAAAGCCAATCTGTGATATTTTAATGAGACAATAAAAGATCTTTATTAAATAGAAAAAAAACAAGCATAAGAGGACTCAAGCCAGATAAAGAGGGGCCACTTAAATAAGGGCCCCGGCACCCATGCCCTTGTTCCCCAGGCAATGTGAACAAGTTCACCATATTGCCCGTGGTAGTGTGAACTGGCCTTTGCCCTCTGGCAATCAGTGTCACATGCCAAAATGCCCAGACCATTAAAAATGCAAGCACAGGCTTTTACAAAATTTGTTTAAATTATAAAATCATACAAAACATGTCGGGACTCTGTCCATACTGTGCGCTGGATTGGTCACTTGTCATCATGTCAGTCTAGCAACAAGTAACTAAGGCATGGTTTGGTCATGATAGATCCTTCTGTGGCAAGGCTTGTTGCCTTAAAGGTCTCCAAACTCCTTTCAAACAAGGGTCTTCTGCCTCTTGGTCCTCAAAGCCTTTACTCTCCACTCCCTGCTTCCATGTCTGTGTCCCCACAGAGCTGCTCAGGCTGGGGGAGCCACTGCAGGGCCAGGCATTGGCCACATATCCCAGGACCCCTCTGTCCTAATGGGCTCTGCTCATCCCCAGCCACCATGCCCATGCGAGGCCACTGAGAAATTTCTGTTCTTGTGGCTGGCGCAGACTGGGGCCTGTGGATGCTCTATCTCTCCTCCTCTCCTCTCTCTTCCTGGCTTATGCTGTTCTCCCCACTTGGTCTCTTTCTATCCCATAACCCACTGTGTGTCAGGAGTCAGGCCAACCTCCAGCCAGCTGTGAGAAGGCGGCGCTGTTGGGCAGGGTCCCCAAGAAGCTGGCCCACAGTGTCCTCACCAGGGCCACCAAGGGCCATACTTCATGTCACTGTTGAGCCCCACCCGACATCCCAGAGCGAGGCTCACTCGGTGTCTCCAGTCCAGTGCCTGTGTCGCACAAGGCTGAGCTCTGGGTTCCTGGCCATCCCCACATGAGCAGCTGTTTTATTCCTACCAGAAAATACATACAGATGAAGGCACGGGGCACACACTACTGCTTCAGAGGCCAATCTGAGGAAAACACTTCTGTGTAAAAAAAGTAGATTTTTTTTTTAATAATGAGAGTGTAAGAAACAGGCACACATACACACACCTGGAAGGTGTGCAGCGAGCACGTTCACACTGCCCTTGACCCAGCAGCTGGGACTGCAGAGCCGTAACCTTTGAAACAATCACATTCCAGATAGGCAGGCTGCTTCCTTGTGGCAAGGGTGGCAAAAGGAACCGACTTGTCAGCAAACAGTGCAGTGACCATGACACAGAATATTACGCAAGTGCCAACCAAGCTTTTGAAGAATATTTAACAGCTTTGGGAAAATGTTCACAATATTCAGTGAAAACAGCATCATGTTCAATACTATGATTATCTGAAAATATGCCAGCACGTAAGAAAAATATTACGTGCATGGTGAGAGAGAAGGGTCTTACTTCTTTAACAGCTTTGGGGATGGCACCTGGGGCCTCAAACACACTAGACAAAACCTGTACCCCGAGCTGCATCTCCAGCCATTTTTATTTTGAAACATCGCTCACTAAATTGCCTGGCTGGCCTTGAACCTGCTATTCTACTGCCTCTGAGCAGCTGGAGTTGCAGGTATGCGCCATGCTTAAAAATCTCCCCCACTATCCATTCGGCGGAATTATTTCGAGAATTGACATTTAAAATGCAATGCATGCTACTATGTGATTACACTCCGGGTGATGACCTGTTTGTCCCACAATGACCCTGAGAGAAGCAGATGACAACCTGGCAGTGGCCAGCCCAGGTTCAGGGTCCACTGAACTGCAGAGCCTTGAAAACAGTGGCGCTGCCCAGCACAGGGCGGGCTGCACTTGACTGACAGGTGGCCCCCAGGAGCCCCTCCTGTAACTCTCCCAGCGGGGGGATGGGAGGTCATGGTGGCTATGGTGAGCCCTGTGGTCCCACCAGGGCTGCCGCACCTTCTTCTGCCTTCAGGGCCCCCAACAGGGAATCTTGTCCTTCGCCTTGGTGGTGAGACTCTGAGAAAAACCCTCAGACACTGAATGCGGCTGTGCTTGGGCTGCAGCAGGGCCATCAGCCCAGGGAACCCTCATTTGGAACTCAGAAGTGGTCCTGACTGCAGACCACCAGCGGTGGGGGGCGGGGGAGAGGGTGGAGTAGGCGGAGTCTTCCTTGGCTGTTTAATGCAGTGCCAGGAAAAGGATGCTGGGAGCAGAAGCTGGGAAAGAGGGGGGCAGAGTTCAAGACTCACTGATGTGACTTCCCCACAGGTCCCCCACAAAGGACAGGAGAGAGATGGCTGCCTCCAGGGCGTGGCGGGGTGAGCACTTGCCCTTCATGGGGATCATGACCCTCATGGCTGTGGTCATCGCCCTGCTGTTCTATGCCCTCCTCTGGAAGGCCGGCAACCTCGCGGAGCTGCCCAGCCTCAGAATTGGCTTCTACAACTTCTGCCTGTGGGATGAGGACAGTAGCTCCCTGCGGTGTCACCAGTTCCCGGAGCTAGAGGCCCTGGGGGTGCCTCGGCTGGGCCTGGCCCTGGCCAGGCTTGGCGCATATGGAGCACTGGTGTTCATACTCTTTGTCCCGCTGCCTCTCATCGTCGCCCAGTGCAAAGGCAACCAGGGCGAGTGGCAGCTGGCGGTGCTGCTGCTGGCCGTGTCCTCCATGATGCTGGCCAGTGGGCTGGGCCTCCTTCTGTACTACGCGTGGAAGTGGGTCAGGCTCTCCCTCCTGGGGCCTGGCTTCCTAGCTCTGGTCCTGGCCCAAGCCTTACTCATCCTGCTGCTCAGGGTCACAGTTATGCTCCATCCAAGGACCAAGATGGACAAGAGCAAGCCTGAGATCTGCTAGTCCCATCTACTGGCAGAGACGACTGCAAGGCTTCATCCCAGCATCCAAGCAGGTGCCGGAGAGGCATGAGCTGGCCCTTCCTCCCTCACGATTCATAGCTAATGCTGACCACGAGCTTCAACAGACGGGGCCTCCGTGAAGCACGTGGAGTCTCACGTCAAGGAACAGATCAGTCAGGGTGGCGGGGCACCCACAGTTTCTTAGAGTAGGATTCTGTCTTTCCAAGGACACTCTAAAGCCATGCAACTGTCACGTGGATTCTTGCTTTAATTAACGTACCTGAGCAATTCCTGCTCTAAACTCAGGATGAGAGAGAGAGAGGAGGGGGTCCATCATGGGGTTGATTTCCAGGCTGATCAGCCAGATCACCAAACCAGAGCCCAGTAAAGGTTGACAGCAACAAAGGGGACCACGCTGAGAGCACTTAGCGTCTCCAGGCCCTGGTTAGCAAGTGCCCGCTCCTGCTCTGTGCCAAGTGGATGTGTGAGCGGTTCCCAAAGGCCCAAGAATGCCCTGGAGGGATCCAGTGGAGATGCATGGGGCATGAAGAGATGCCCCATGGCCTTGAAGCATTCCCTAAAAAGGTCCCTGGGCTGGAAGCAGGTAGCACAGGGGTCAGCCAGCCAACTCCTACTGCTGTGCAACCCAGGAGTTCGGGAAAGGTCATCCCAATTCTTTGGCAGAAAAGGGGAACTGGACTGAATGGTTCCCCTCCGTTCTCCACTCAGAACCAAAAGGACAGAAATTTAACTACTCATGTAATGGGGGAGTTTGTATTTTTTTTCAGCATTTACATATTAGAATGACTTCTTTATTCTCTGCGTCAAAAGCCATACTAAAAAGACAAACGTGGACTCTGGTGTGGTCTTTTGTCTGTGCTCTGTGCTCTGTTCCTGTCCCACTCCCACTTCCCAGGAAGAAGGTGGCAGCAGGGGAGGCCTGTCCAACCAGAGCCTGGTGCTCCTGACAGATGACCGCCTGGGTGGGGACGGAGGCTTCCCGAGATGGCGCTGAGTGAAGGCTGCACATCCCAGCATGCTGAAGAGTGGCGGGCTGTCGCTGGTTCCAGTAAGCTGAGCTCCACAGCCTCGTTTCCCCTGGAACCTGGTAGCTTCACACAACAAATGCCTGGGATTCTAGATCCATTAGGCCACGAGTGGGCACAGCTCAGGAGTCCCCAAGATGCGGAGCATCATCCAGGCTTCTGAGCTAAGATGACCCAGCCAGGTCTGGCTCAGCAGCCCCGGCTGTGCCTGGCTTCACTCAGCAGAAAGCCCAACAGTCAGCTCATCCCTTAGCTGAAAAATATCTCCTTGACGTACTTGAACACATCGTCCTTCTCCTCCTCTTCCTCCTCCTCCTCCTCTTCCTCTTCCTGCTCAGGGTTTCTGCTACAGGCAGAGGTGGAAGTCCCTGGCCTCTGGGTAGGACTAAGGCTCAGGGCAGGACTGTCATTCCCACTATCCTCTTCCCCACTGTTACCACCAGAACTCGTGTGAGGAGACCAGGGGCCGGTGCGGCAGAGCTCAGGCTTCTCAGAGCTCCCCCCAGCCAGCTTTTCCTGTGGCTTCTCCCATCTGCGGCCCTGTGGAACAGGGCAAAGGGTAGGGTCAGTGCAGGAGCTCATTTCCCCAAGTTCTGGTTGGCCTATCAGTGACCCAGGACACAGCCAAAGCCACCACAAAGCCAGCGGGTATTTGGGCCAGATACTGCTCCCAGCCCACAATAACACCCTCTCCTCACCCTACACAAAGCCCTCAGGCTCTTGAAGAAATCAGGACTCGATAGGGAGAGAAACAGCCATAGATGGAAGGAACAGCTGAGTACAGAGAAAAAGAGACCAATGGGGAAAAGTAGCTGGAAAGGCAGAGAGAGAATGGAAGGGGCCCAGAGTACAAAACGTGCTGCGGGCCCAAGGCCCCTCCCAGAACAAAGCCAAGCCCAGGTGTCGCAGCTTCGTAGGAATAACAGCTGCAGATTACTACACCACAGGGCCACTGTGAGGGTTCATGAGGTAACAGACTGCATGCAAGCCTCTGGCAAACTAGAAAGTCCCACACACCCCTGAGGAGGTACAACTGTTATACCCCAGGAAGTGAGGACACTCAAGAGTTCTGCGAAGGAGACAGCATCTCCCCCTGCAAGGCCCCTTCTGAGAACACGACTTCACACCGTCACCCCAAACAGAAAGCACCCTACTCCTCACACCCACTCCCTGGCCAGGACCCAGCCCCAAAGAGTCACTTCACAGGCCTCACCCCATGTGGTAAGAGCTCAGGGCAGCAGGAATGGGAGAGCAGGCCAGGGCTGCTGAAGGCGTGGGCTGACCTGATACGAGGCCCTACCTAGGCAGTTTGAGGTGCCACTCCTGTGATGGTGACCACAGGCTGGTTTTCCCTGTGAAGTTTCAACCACTCTAGTGAAGAAGCAACTCAGAGACTTTACCTCAAGCAAGATCCCCAAGGCTGTGTCCACCATCTCTGCTTCATTCATGCAGTACACGGTCTTCACTGCAAGGCAACTGAAAAACACAAAGCCATGGATGGACAGGGACAGAGGGTGTCAGGCCTCATGAGGAGAAAGGGGGTAAGAACATAGGGGCCCAGAAGCCCAGCCTTCCCGCCAAAGACAGCACAGCCACATCTGTTGGCCTCCCCAAGGCACAAACATGACTTAGCCCCTGTTGCCTGGTATGGGCATGGGGTTTCCCACCCTCCACAGGGTTCTGGGTCTAGGCGTGACAGACAGCTGGCTGCTGAGAGTTGCCAGTGAAACACACATTGGGAGCGAGAACAGATACAGGCCAGCAGACTGAGATGGCACACTGGACAGATGACAGACCTGCACTGGGGCACAGGAGGAGTCCAAGGAGGTGCCATGGGCCTGGAGCCCTGCTCAGGACAGCAGCAGGGGTGCCCCCTCCTACTCGAAGCTGCAGCCCAAGACCCTCTTCTGCCCATTATCACTCCAATGAACCTGCCCACAGCTTCTGACTTCATGCTGTTCCACTTCTGCCCCAGTGCTGACCAGGGCAGTCCGCTGCTAGTCCACTGATTTGCCCACTTGATGTCAGGTTTTATTACATTTTGGACAACTGGCACAGTTGTGGCTTGGCCAACTGCAGAACCCACTTGGCCGCCAAGAACTCGTTTGGTCCACTGTCTGTGCTAACTGGGCTGGCAGAGGCACAGGTGGGAGCCTCTCTGCAAGGGACAATGCTTCTCACCTGCGAAGAGCTCAAGGGCAAGTCTCAGTGGACACCGCTGGGTCCCCTCCCAGTCCTCCCCCAAGTCCCCTGGCCAGAGCTTGTCCCACCTCGCTGCCTTTGCCGGCTCCACTGTCCTCCTCCTTTTGGAGGTCTTCATTGGCACAGTCCTCTTCTCAGCCACCTGGGCTGTCATCCATGAGGGAAGGATCCTCTTTTTGGTCTCAGATGTTGATGTTTCCATCTCTGTGGTTTCCCACAAAGTGGAGTCTGTCCCCAGGCTTACTGAGTGGCTTGCCTGAGTAAGACAGCAAATCACACTTTCTCATCACACCAGCAGCTAGAGGCCTAGGTGTGCCAAGTGGGAGCCAACCCTTGACACCTACAAAGAAGAGGAAAGTGGTGTGCCCACAACCAGCAACCTCCGGTCACCAGCCACCAGTCCTGGTCATGTGGGCCAGGCCAAAGGCAGCCGGGCTAGCAGGGCCCTACAGGTGGGGATGGGTCAGGGAGACAAAGCCACTGCCGGGTGCTCCACAGGAAACAAATGCTTCCCAAAAGCTACTGTCCCCTGGGGTAGCATTCCCAGGCAGCAGAGCTCTGGCAGTGTCCCCTCTCTTCAGCTGCTACTGTCCTTAGGCAGCCCAGTCAACCCCACTCCCAAATCACAGCCCAGAATGTTTCTCTCATCTGCCCACCCAGCCCCTGCATATAACTGGGTCCCAGGAACCCAATGCCACCAGTCCGGGCAAGTGCCCCTGGCCAGTCCCTTCCCCCTCCACCTGATTGATGATGCTTGACCTGCCAGGGGGGCCAGGAAACCTAATGTGCCTGGCTGCCCGGATGCGCAGCATCCAGAACCCTTCCCCTCCCAAGACACGGAACTTGGCCTCTTCCTCCTTCCTCAGCCTTCAGGGCTGAGCTGAGTGCGCACCCAGTGCAGGGGCTGAGCCTCAGCCTCACGCTTAACAATCACCCGGAAGGAAGGCCCAGCCTGGAACATCTTGCCCAGACGAAGGAGTAAGAAATCCTCAGAATTTGGTGACCGTTCATGGCTCGTCCCTGAACGCTGCTTAGAATTTAAGGAAAGTCAGAGAGAGCATCATCGTAATCTGCCCAGCCAGAGAACAGACCTTGGCCACTGTCCTTTTGTTTCTGTGGAATTCGGCCACGGGTAAGGCATTGCTACCATCTAGTGGGCGGGCACACAGCGCCACCTACCTGGGATAGACCTTTATTGCAGCCGGAGGTGCAGAGCCTACGTCCATTTCACGCAGGAGGAACTGAGAGCTAAACTTGCACAAGGTCACAGAATCCGTTGTGGTGGTCCACGCCTGTAATCTCAGCTATCCAGGAGGCTGAGGCAGGAGGTGGGCAAATTCAAACCCAGCTCGGCAACCACTCTAGGGCAGCTCCTGTTCAAAACACAAAGTAAAAAGGGCCGCGGCGGCAGCTCAGTACGCAGGCCCTGGGTTCAAGCCCCCGAATCTCCACCCCCGAAGCTGGTACTCGGCCACGCGGCACGGCGCTGGGCCCCGCAGACGGCAAAGCCGGAGATGCCCTGAGCTCCAAGCAAGACGCAGGCCTGCAAACCCGGGGCTCCCCGCGCCGCGCATACCCGCCGCTCGCACGCGTAGGCTCAGCCCCGCGCCCAAACCGGATCCGGCTGCGCCGCCGACTCGCCTCCGGGAAGCCGCTCCGACAGTCCAAACGGCCTGCTGCGCCTGGCTGTATACAACCTCCACTCTTCCGCTCGGGCTCGGCGGGGCCCGGGCGCCCCCTGCAGGCAGCGCTGTGTCATGTCCCCTTGTTGGCGTCTTTTCCTGCCGGCTTTTCTTTGCTGGGGGTGGAACCCAGGGCTCTTGCACTGAGCTCCGTCCTCAGCTCTCCTCTATTTTTTGAGACAGGGTCTCGCTGAATCATTGAAATTGCGCGGGCTGAGTTCGAACTCCTGCCTCAGGCTCGCAGTGGAATTACAGGGGTGCAGCTGGAAGCCGGCTCTTAACTAGAGCTGCAGATGCCAGAGAGAAGGAGCCGGCTTTACCAGATCCCTGGCCAGCAATTAGGGGAAGGGACAGGCTCTCCGTTAGCAACTCGGTCGGGGAGCCCCCAGGAGCTGAGGTCAGCAGCGTTCCCCTTCTGCACCGTGCAGTTCTGCACTGGGAACCGGGAAATCGCACTCGAGGCTCAAAGCACGCAAGAGGGACCCGGAAAGAAGTCCCTAGAGGGCAGGGACGCGACTGGAGACGTCCCAGAGGAGCCCTTCCCTGGCACTCCCAGGTCCAGGGGTGACCAGAGCTGGCGGGCAGGGTCCGTTCGGTGCCGAGTCAGGGTACAGCGGGTCAGCAGCTGTCGGAGCGTCCCTGCCCGCGGAGCACCTTCCTTGCTCTTGCAAACCCTGCTCCTCAAACCGGGGCGAAGTTCAATCAGCGTGAGCGTGGGGCCAAGTCTGCAGGCCCCTGCTGTCCAGGACTACCATGAAGGTGCGTGAAGTATCGCACTCACGTACACGGTGAGCCCAGACAAGTCTCAGGGGCCGAGGGTTGGCACGGGACCCCTCTGTGCATAGACAGGCGAACACTCAAACACTCGGTATTAGTGGGACTGATGTCATCTGCACAAGGATGCCCAGGGCAGTGCTGGGGACCGCAGCCTGACCCTGAACAGGAAGACGTACAGGCGGAAGGCTCCTAGCCCGAGGTCTCCACAGCCCTAGGGCTTCTCAGAGGTGAGGGGGGGAGTCTTCCCCCCCCCCCAGTACTGGGCATTGAACGGATGGGCAAGTCTTAATTCCAAGAAAAAAGGAAGGGGTTGGGGTAAGAGGAGGGGAAGGAAAAAGGAAAGGAATCCAAAGACAGAAAAAGTAAACTTACTCCGAAGGCTACCATGGAAACCACTTCAAGGCAGCTAACCTACTTTGGATAACCTAAGATTAATCATACTAAAACAAATGTTTGCCAGGCATGGTAGTGCATGCCTATAATCTTGAGGTAGGAAGATTCTTGTGAGTTTGAGACCAGCCTGGGCTACAAAGTGAGCTCAAGGCCAACCTGAACTGCACAGCATGAGCCTGTCTCAAAAACGAAAAAAATAAAAATAAAAATGAATGTGTTCCTCTGTGATTGTAGTTCACTGGTAAAGCTCTTGCCTAACACCCATGGGCCCTAGGTTCAATCCCTAGCATCTCACAATTTAGTAATTATTTTAGAAAAGAAAGTAAATGAGGCCCAAGGGCAAGAAACCCGAGTGTCTGCATAAGATGCCTTGTTGCAAGCCAGGCCTGGTGGTCACACCTGTAATCCCAGCTCTGGGAGGCTGAGGCAGGAGGAAGCTTGGCACTTCTGAGGTAGCGAGATCCTGTGTCAAAACAGAAAATGAAAAAAGGGCTGGGGATGTAGCTTAATGTGAAGGTAGTTCAATCCCAAGGAGGAAGAGGTCCTAGGCAGAGGTAAGGGACCAAGCTGTGACATTTGTATGTACCAGAACCAATACCTATAGCATTGGGATTTTAACATTTTTAAATCGACAGACAAGATGTTATGTGTTTATTGTGTGAGGTAACACGATTCACCATCCTGAGCCAGTCCACACTATGGATGCTGTACCTTCAGGCATCGGTGGAGCCCTGGTCATGTGAATCCCACACCAAGGGGCTGGATTTGGGTCTGAGCCTGAGCCTGCAGGAAGTGCCAGCTGGTGCCTGAGGGAGAGAACCGGAAATGCATCTGCCTGGCTGATCTGCGCCGCGCAAGTATGCAGGGGGAACCGAGGCTTCGCCTGCCTCAGTCCTGTTACCTCAGATGACAGAGGAGGGAGCTGCTTGGGCTCTTGGGGGGATGGCAAGTACGCACCCCGAGGGAGAGGTGGAATTCTTCACACCGCAGCCGAAGAGGAGCTCTGCTGGGGGGTGGGGGCAGGGAAGACCAGGGTTTTGAGGATTCCCGTGTAGCTGGCTGTGGGCACTATGGTGAAGGAACGAGCCGAGCCGTGACACAGAGAAACAGAGTAGGTGACCTCACACCTCTCAGCCCAAAGGAGAGGTGGAAGCCCTGGGGGAAGGCCGCTCGGCTCCCTGGGTGGGATGGGCGGGGCCACTATTTCAGAGTTCAGGTGGGAGAGCTCAGGTGGAGACGACCGGGTTTTCTTCCCTTGAGAGGCACACGGGATTGGAAATGGACAACTACCTACTGCTCAGGCCTCACCCACACATTAAGTCCTCATCACCTTCCTCAGTCCTAGTGGAAGGCAGCCACGGCCTTTAAGACCCCAGTGTTTTCCCCAGAGTAGGTGCCCAGGGGTGCCCCAGGCCAGCCCTGTGCTCTAAGTGACGGTTGTGGGCAGCTGGAGGGAGCAGTGGCACTCTGGGCAAGCTACAATCACCCTGCCAGTGTGGGAACCCCAGGCCAAGGTCCTCCAATCCCATGGTGCCTGCTGTCTCCACTGTGGAACTCAAGAGGGACATGCTGGTGGCTCCCAACTGTGGGGAATCTGCCTCTTCAGGGTGCCTGATCAGGGACAGGGTGCAGGCCTCGGGCAGGGGTATGGATCTAGCCAGCACAGGCTCAGCTCAGGTACAAGAGCAGGCGGGCAATCCCTGTGCCTACCAGAAAATCTGGCCACTGCTGACCATCGTGACACTGACCAGCAGAGGGCACAGGCAGTGCGCATCATTTGGCCCCACTGAGGCCAAGAGGATGAAGAGCCACCCAGAGAGGGACACTAGGAACAGCAGGTATCTGATAGCAAGAAGCAGCCATCAGCAGAGGCTTTAGCCCCCACACCATCCTGAGAGGCTTCTGTCACAAATGCCAGCACCTCTGGTAGTCAGGATATCCAGGTCTTGGTTGGAGCCTGGCAGAAACACAGCACACTGTAGGCCCCGCATCTTCCCTCAGCAAAGCCCTAGGGAACTGTTGGGCACAAAACAGGCAGAGTTGATGGGGAAGGAAGGCCACAGCTGGCGGTCACAGGGCAGAGGACACACACGTCCTCTGAAGGGACACCAGCAGATGGCAAGAGCATTCTCTTTTATAGAAAAAGAAGACAAAGAGCAAATATACACAGAATACTATCACTCTCCTCAGCCCGCACAGCACCCTTCCTTGTCCCTGAGCTTTCCTTCTGGTCTCTGGGAAGCACATGCCACCCACTGAGCACCTTCCCAAGAGGCTCCTGTCGCAGTCACTGCAGCACACAGTCTTTCCCTGCAGACTCGCTGCACCGGCAGGGGCCAGCAGTGGGTGTTCTGCACTGGTTCCGGAGTGCCTTGGCCACCTGTCAGAGCTTGTGGGCAAGTAGGGTGGTCAGCTTGACCTTGCCGTCCATGGAGGCAGTGAGGCAGGTCCCGCAGTCCATAGCAGTGCTCCAGTCCACAGTGACCACAGGCGCCCGGTGGCCACCCAGGCTCAAGCAGCTCTCCAGGACCTTCTCATCACCACCCAGCTGCAAGAGGCCAGAAGAGAGGGCACGGCATCAGCAGCAGCGCACACGGACATGGCCGCTGCCTGTCCTGTCAAAGGCCTTGCGGGGCGGCCCAGGCACAGGCCACAGGGAGGAGCCTCCGCCCCAATTCCACCCAGTTACCTTGTAGATGACGCCCCCCGTGGCAGAACACGTCAGCATGTAGTTGCCCTCCGAGTCAAAAGCAAAGAGCCGGCCCCTGGGGACTTGCACCTGCTTGTAGCCGCTGTAACCAGACAGCACAAAGGGGCCGGTGGCGTCCGAGGGGAGGCTGTACTCAGACACCTTCAGGCCGCTCTTGTGGATGTTCCACTGGATGAACTGCAGACACAGGTACAAAAGAGTGCGAGCTCAGCCAGGGCCAGCGTGGAGGACACGTCCGCCAGGACACGGAGCACCCAGGGCAGGACTGGAGCAACCCCTCCCTCTGCCACAGCCAACAGCCCAGAGGTAGCTCCAGAGGCAGAATAGGGGCTGGGGGAGATAGTCACAGGCCACCCCAAGTCCCATCTCTTGGCAACATAATGTTTTTCAGGAAGAAAATCTACAAAAATGGTCAGGAACCTCATTTCAAAGTCCAAATCTTCCCTCCCACTCTGCTCTGACCTAGAAGGGAAAAACTGTAGGTAGCCAGCTTTGCCTGATGCCTGGGCTCCCAGCACAGGGGGCACCAAGTGCGTGCTGTTATCAGAGCTCTGACTGAGGACAAATTCCAAATCCACTGCCAGCACCTCGGGGGTGCACACCACACCCTTCACTGACCATCCTGTGTCGGATTGCTCAGTCTGCCCCCTGGCCAAACCACCTGGTTATAACCACCTCTGGGCTGGGAATCCTAGCCACACGGACAAGAAGCTAAGCTTTAAAGCCCCTTCCTACAGTTTCCACCTGAGGAACTGAAGCCGAGCACAGTGGTACACTCCTAGCACCCTATCTGTTTACAAGGCTGAGGCAAGAAGATCATTTGAGCGTAGGAGTTTGAGGCCAGCCTGAGCAACAAATGGAAGGCTCAAAAATAACTGACCTAGAAATCACTGCTTTCATTACAGAATACAGGTAGTTGCTATAAAATTAAGACCTAACTGGAAAGTAAGCCCTAGCATGATTTTTCTCAATGCTCTTAACATATGTCTTATTCCAAAAATTAAGCCCCAGTCAAGGTCAGCCAGACGGATGCATTTAGTATGTCTGCTGCAACACACAATGGGCATACTGAATTATAAAATACTTACAAAATTAACATAAATGCTGACATTAATACTTAAATACTAGAAGTTATAATTATTTGTAAATACCTAAGCAGGCCCCTTAGGGTGAGAGGTAAATGCTGATGTAAACAGATGAACTCATGCCTTATGACCCGTCAGAGCCAGCCTCAAGGCATGGGTACCGTGCACACCGACAACAGGGGGACACGGCTGTGGCTAACATGACTCCTCATGACCAGGGACGTTGCGTGCTGCACGGCGTACTACGAGCAGGCTGCATGGACGGGATGTGCTCATTTAAGGACAGCTCTGCTGTTGGACATAAGACATTGGGGCCATGGGTTCTATGGGAAGTGAAGTCCCAAGAAATTCAGGCTGGAATTCAGGGTTGGGAGCATTATATGACGACGTTCCACAGGGGAAACACAGAAGTATCAAACCCCAGAAGCTCAGGAAGGCACAGGGGACAGGTGAGGTCCCCTCACCACTGCCCACTGCAGCTCCCTTCCAAGGCAGCTGTGATTCCCACTCCCTCCCACAAGCTTCCAGGGAGGGGCTCCCCGAGGACACTTCCTTCTCCCTGCAGGGGTGCGGCCTCCTTCCTGCTCCTTCAGACTGTTGAGCCTCTGGGAGGTCTGTCCACAGCCCCTCCACACACTGTGCACCCACGGAGCTCACAGGGCCACACCATTGCCAAGCTCGCCAAACTGTATCCTGGCCCCAAACACAGGCTGGCAGTTTTGGTCCCTAGTTTTACAGGCCAGCTGTCTTGGCTTGGTCTCTTTCCGGACAGAGGGCAGAGGCCCCATGGCCAGGTCTACCGCCAGCCCCACTAGCTCTGCCACACCTACCTTGCCATCCTCGCCGATGCTGTACACAGCGTTCTCGTCGTAGCTGAACTCCACAGAATAGACCTCCCCACAGTGGGCCCTCCAGCTCAGGGCGCACTCATGCTGCTGCATGTCTGAAGGGAGAGGATGCCGCTAAGATCATGCCCTGGTACCTCAGGGGGCACTGCCACACCTGAGGCTCCCCCATACCTCCAACAGTGCCCCCAGGTCAGGCTGCCTGGAGCTGAGGAAGCAGCTTCCTTCACTGGACACAGCAAGGCTTGGAATCCCTAAGGGCGCTGGAGCTCATCTGGGGAGCCCCTGAGAGCAGGAGTGCACAGGGGCCCTTCCTCCAAGTCCCCTAAGAAACCCTGGGCAGTCGTCAAGGAGCCTCTGTCCCATCTTAGACCCTGGAGATGTCTCCCTGGGGACAGAAAGTGAGCCACCTGCCGGAAGTGAGCAAATGGCCTTGCTCTCCTGTGTCTTCCTGCTTCCCACTCAGTGACAAGGACTCAGATGAACAGCCTAGGGTGGAAAGATTGCTGGGCTCACCCCACTCCCGTGTCAGTTATGCTGGGGGCTCTGAAACCTCAGGTCAGAGTGAGGCTCAGCACCTGCATGTGGAACTGGGGTCCTGCAATGCTGGGCAGTCCAAGGAGGGCTGGGGTCCTACCGAACAGCCGGATGACGCCGTCCGCTGCCCCCGTGACCAGCAGGTTACCATTGTGATTGAAGGCTGTGCAGTTGATAGCAATGGGCTCCGGGTCCACAGAGAACTGGAGCTGTTAAAGCCGAACCCAGGAAAGCTTAGCTACTCCCTCCTCCACACCTTCCCCAAGTGCACTCCAAGCTGTTCTACTGAGAAGTCACAGCACTTCCTGAACCACCTTACCTAACAGGTGGCTCGGGCAGAGGACCAGCCAAGCAAAGGTCCCCAGTTGGGGATGTGGCTCCTCCCCCATCAAGCCCCCTCTCCTCTAGAAACACTCAGAACTAAAGGTGTTAAGAAAACCACCTCATGGAACAGGCTATTAACTAACCTAATGATGAATAAAGAACATCATTTCAAGCACTATAGACTCCCAGGAGCCCTAGATTATTCTCTTAAGATTCAAAGTGCAAGATGAATGTGAAGCAATACTATTTAAACACACATAGTCAATGCTAATAAGTTACCAAATGCAAGAATCCTCTAAGGCTAAAACCAAGGGGAAAGCAAGACTTCTGAGGACTATAGACCCCCAAAGCCAGCCTTCACTATGAGGCCCTTGCCAAATGCACTGGACCCTGTCCTCACTCTGATGGCTGCTATGCCTGGTGTCTAGACGTCCCCAAAGCCCCATGTGCCTTGCAGAGGTGGCTGGATCCTGGGTGTGTGAATACAAGCTGAGGGTGAGATCCTGGAATCAAGAGCGTGTGGTACTGGATTAGTCCACTGACGGGCTTATCAACACTTCTGGGTGTGGATAGTGGGGAGTCCCAGTCAGGTGCTGGTGGCACCACCCAAAAGGCAAGTAGCTTCCGGCTTCCTGTGAGCAGGAGGCTCACTGCTTCCTGTCTGTCAAACCATCCTGCCTCCGAGCCAGCCAACTAGAGACTGAAACCTCCACTAACTGTGAGCTGAAATAAACCTTCCCTGCTTTAACATGTGGGAGTTGGGTACTGTGTCTCAACAGCGAAAGTCATTAAGACATACCCATGAAGCTCACAAGCCCACAGCCCCGAGTAAGGCTTGTCCAAGGTCAAGTCATACATCTCCACACATGGCCAGGACTCCAAAAAGCTATATCCTCAGGGCAACAGTGAACTAGAAATAAACCTACTTTACAGACAGGGACGAAAAGCAAACACCTCTGCAAACCCATACCCACAAACTGCCTTTGATGTGGGTTTAGAGCCCCAATTCTCAATCCCTATGTAGCCTGAGGAGCCTCAAATGGTATTTTGAAGTTCTCAGGCGCCTGGAACAAGAGTATGCAGGTATGCTCTCCTCCAGAGCAACACCCCTCCACCCCAGCCCCCAAATGCTCAAAAGCAGGAAGCTCCCAGATATGTGAGCCTGCAATCAAAACTGACAGGAAGCTGGGGAGATGGCTCAGTGGAATAAGCACTTCCCTGGCAAGCGCAAGGGCCTGAGTTCAATCTCGGGTTCCGGGGGAAAAAACTGACAAGACCCAGGACAGTAAGGCAGGAATGAGTGTCCATCACAGAGCAGCGAGCAGAACCAGACCCACAGAGACTCCAGGTACTGGAGTTACCAGGCAGAACAGAATGATGTATGCCACAAAACAAAAAGAGGAACTGCAAATATGGGGGAAAAGGAAGAGTATATGAGGGCGCAGGCACGTGAAAATGAGAAATGCTGCAGGAACTGAAATGAATAGCCTCACCAGTCAAACCAAGCTGAGGAAGCAATCGGCACAAATACGGCAAAGTGAAACGAAAAAGGGGAACGCAACAGTTAAAATATCATCTGACTAGAGTTCCAGAGGACAAGAGATTACCACAGAGCTGTAACACTGGGAAAAAAGAGGACTAACTGGACAAAGACAAATCCTCTGCTTTAGAAAACTCAACAAATCCTGAGTAGGAGTTTCAAAAAAAAAAAAAAGATAAAACTTGAAAAAGCCAGAAAGTCCTCACCACACACAGATCCAATGAGAAAAGCAGATGGAGAGAGAGGACAGCCCAGGCTGCTCTACTGCACGAGGACGTGTCAGTTTCAGCAAAGTCAGCTGAAGCTGAGATTGAGCCGTGTAAGTCTGGAAAAATACGTATACTATGATTCCTCTCATACGAATTGAGGAGACAGGAAGGCAAAAGCTGTGTGTTTGGGAACATACGTTTATGTGATAAACTCCTTTCTAAAATGTGAGGCCACAGCTCTCCCTGGAAGAGGAACAGAGTCAGGCTGGGAAGGACGCACAAGAACACAAAAAGGACTGGCGAAATGGTCTACGCTTAGGCCAGGCACTTGACGCCAGGCACAGCGGGCGGCCCGGGCCTGCAGCGCCAGACACTCGGAGACCTCAAGGTGCTGGAGGATCCGAGGGTCAGCCTAACCTGGGCAGTACAGCAAAAGCGTGTCTCAAAAGAAAAAATAAAGATGTGGATGTGCTCAGTAGCACATCCAAAACCGATCTATCAGTTTTGCAAAAATAAACCAGGCATTCATTGAACTGCTGTTCTACTCACTGTGCCATATACTTATAATTTCAATTTGTTATGCATTCAAATTAAATTACAATCCTGAAAAGTACAAGTAAACTGAAGCTTACAAATTATGCTAAAAGACGTAGAGAAAAACACCAAAATATCAATACTACAGAGAGACCAAATTAAAGTGGTGGAGAAGCAAGGGGCAGAGGCCCCCAGGGCTCCTGCAGACGCCCTGCGAAGGGGCGCCAGGCCACGTCCCGCAGGTGATGAGCAGCAGTCAGACCGGAAGCCATTTCAGTGGCAGCAGTAGGAGCGTTTGTTCGCAGGGCCCTCACACGAGCAGAAGAGAGGCACAGGTCTGGGAAGACACGGGGGTCTGAGTGGGCGCGTGTGCCAAGTGAGGAAAACCAGGAGGGTGGGGCGGATGTGGCCGGAGCAAAGGTCAAGATGGGCCTCACTGGCCCCAGAGCCTAGGAGACTTCCCAGTGCCACCCAGCTAGTGAGCCTGAGACCCCAGGCAGCGGGGGGAAGATGCAAATTGTGTACGTGGAACGCAGCGCAGCTGTGAGGCAGGGCCACCAGCAGGAACAGGGAGCAGTGCACTCCACATGAAGAGCACAGCGCTTCTGAAGAGTTTTAACAAGAAACACCACTGCCTTCTCGACAGGTGTGCGCAAGGGCATTTCTCACTCTAGGAATACAGTAACAGGGACAGCACCTGCTGCTATTTGGGGCAAACCAGCCAGGAGGGTCAGCAGTCACTGCGTGTGAATAAGCACCCATTCTCACTGCTGCTGGCCACTGCTGGAACTCAGGCACTTCTAAAGTACCAGGGTCAGAAGGCGTCTGCTCCTAGGAAATGAGCTGCGTGGGGCTCTAGGAGGTGCTGGGTGACTCTGAGGCCATAGCCCAGCGCTGCCACCTTCAGCTGCTCACCATCTGAACTGAGTGCATTACTTTCAACACTTGGTTGGAATTTTCTCATAAATCAAAAAGCCAAAGAGACCAAAGCAGAAACAGAGCAACAGCCACAGCGAGCCCCGGGCAGGGCTTGTACCTGTTGCTTCATGGTTTTTGTGTCCCACAGCAGCAGCTTGCCGGGAACCTGGTTCATGCCCTTGCTGCCGATGTCTGGGGCCAAGGAGTCCGCCTGCGAGGTGAGACTCGGGGCTGCGGCTGAGCAAACGAAAGAGGCCCCATTGGGGCTGCACGCCAGAGACAGGATTCTGCAACACACATGGGCCGTGGTCAGACAGTCGCCCGCGAGCACCCAGAGAGGAGGAGCTCGACTGTGACAGGCAGGCTTCAGCTCACCTGGGCATGTCGTCGTGGATACCGATCTCACAGAGATTCTTCTTGGCTTCTGTGTCATAGAGCCGCACCGTGCCCACGCCACTGCCTAACAAGAGCTGGAATGAGAAGCCACAGGCTGCAGTCAGGGAGGACTTCCGGGGTGGGCCAGGCCTTTCCCTCTGATGTGCCAGGCTGGGTTGCCTGCAGGGGCAGCCCCTCCTGCACCAAGCTAGGCAGATGGAATATCTGAGCACAACAAACCATGCTTAAAACTTAAGAGCAGGGCTGGGCCTGGAGGATCACTGTGAGTTTGAGGTCAGCCCGGGCTGCGTAGTGAGTTCAAGGCCAACCAGTACCCACTCTCTCGCTGGCTCTCTCAAGCCTGATTCCTAAATCCTTCTCTGGCTTCCTGTTTTGCCCCAGGATCTCTCCCTCTAGCACACACTCCTCCCATGCCCCTGCCTTCGACATGTTGTGATGCTGCCAACAGAGCCCTCACCAGAGCCAGACAGATGCTGCCACCATACTCTTGAACTTCCAAAATGGTGGACTAAACAAACCTCTTTTCTTTATAAAGTTCTAGGCCTCAGACACTTCATTATAGCAACAGAGAACAGAATGATGCAGCATCTAAAGAATGGGAGAGATGCGCTACCTCAGAAACACATGAAAACATGCTGGCTGGTTACACGAGACCCTCCACTCTTCCTCTTCTCTTCTCACTGTGAATACCAGCTGTTCTTGTCCAAATTCCTGCTCACTACTGTGTAGGCCCTGGCTGATCATGAGACCTGGGTCACTAAGCATTTGCCTTTTTAGGGAGCACTTCTGGCTCTGGCTCTGTTAAGACCTCCACAAAATCATAAAAATATTGTCCTTGCCTCCAGAACTTGTGATTTATACAATGAAAAGCTTCAAAGATGATAATAAATGTCACGAGAAGCAGCCCAGCCTGAAGGTATCTTTTCCTCAGAAATATCAACTAGGTCAGGCATGGTGGCACATGCCTGCAATCCCTGCAATTGGGAAGCTAGGGAAGGAGGATTGCTGTGAGTTTTAGGCCAGCCTGAACTACACAACAAAACCCTGTCTCAAAAAGACAAAAAAATAAAGAAATATTAGCTAAGTGCTGACCTCAGCATCCACTTGGCACATGGACCCCGGTCCAAGGAAGGCCCTGGGATGCTAGTCCCATGAGGATAAATCCTACAGTTGTCAAAAATTATAGTGAGCCAGTGTTTGCTTCTTGGGCTACAGAGTAGAATCCCTGATAAATGGAATAGAAGAAAAAGCAAGAAATCAATTTTGCCTCCTTAACCATACAAATCCTATCTCAAGTATTAAAGTCTAGGGAAGAGAAGAACACTGCTATCCCTGGGAGCCACCACACCCGTGAAATCACAGGCTGAATTATCCCTTGTCCCCAGTGTAAGCTGCAACCACTGGGGCACAGATGGGGGGGTGGGTCTAAGGAGCAGGAGGGAGCACACTGACAAAGTGCTAAGCAATAATGGGACACACAGGAGAGGACAGGAAGCCAGGCAGGCCCTCGGGGCAGAAGGTCCCCTCGTTTTACTTCTTGTTAATACAGTAACCTCACCACCACTGCAAACAGGAGCCTGTTCGGCCCATCTGGGATATGTGGTTCCTGAATCCCAGTGATGACGAAGCAGGTGGGGGTGTTCGCCTCAGCTCAGCTCAGCCTGTGAAGAGCCCCAGAGACCCCAGAGCAAGCACCTACGCAGACGAAGCGTCACTCACCAGCCTGTCCCGCTTGGTAGCCCATTCCAGCGAGAGCAGTGGTGACTTGGAAATAGAGGATGCTTTGGTCTGCATGATGGGATTGAAGGACCACACTTTGATGACCCCATCTACATCGAGGCTGGCGACTCTCCTCCCTGAGCAATCCACTCTGCACGAGAGAGGGACGTGTGGGCGCCCAGCCTCACCCCCTTCAGTTAATGTTTTTTTAACTAATAAAAAAAAATTGTATTTACTTAGAAGCATTCAGAACATCAACAAAACAGCTGCAATTTTTTTTTTTTTGCAATTATAGAGTGGTATTCAGTTAACAGAACAACAATTATTTCGTATAAGCTGCATCAGAGACAACTGAAGATGAAAAACTACCGTCCTAATTTGTGCTGTGCCCCAAAAGAACCTGCTTTAAATTTCTATCCCAATTTACAACCCCCATACTGTACCAGGGAAGGTTAGTGGCTACTGAAAATACCACCAGGACAGGGCTATAAAAGAGACATTCGCTAGTGTGTTAACTAAACAAAACAAAAAAAAAAGACACTGTACAGTTTAAAAACAAATCTTACACAGACTTACATTTCTTTTTTTTCCTTCAAAAGGAGTGAATTGTATACAGGGGGTTAAATGCTTTATAGACAAGAAAATAAAACTGCGCTAGAACCAACTTATTCATCATCATCCTCTTCTTCATCCTCCTCATCCTCTTCATCCTCTTCCCCCTCTTCATCCTCATCTTCCTCATCCTCCTCCTCTTCCTTTCTTTTCTTGCTTTTTTCAGCCTTCACGACTCCCTTTTTGCTGCATCAGGTTTTCCTTTAGCCCGGTAGGCAGCGATGTCCTTTTCATACTTCTCCTTCCGCTTAGCAGCCTTCTTCTCATATGGCTGCTTGTCATCTGCTGCAGTATGATTCCACATTTCTCCAAGTTTCTTTGTGACATCACCAATGGAGAAGCCAGGATGTTCTCCTTTGATTTTGGGGTGATACCCAGAACAGAACAGTAAGAAGGCTGAAGGAGGCCTCCTGGGCACTTTGAGATCCTTGAACTTCTTTTTTGTTTCTCCTTTAGGAGGAATCTAAGTTTTCATTTCTCTTTCATAACTAGCCCTGTCTGCCTTTGCCACATCTTCAAAATTTTCCTTTCTCTTTAGAAGACACGGTCTTCCACCTCTCTGAGCACTTCTTAGAAAACTCTGAGAAGTTAACGGAAGCATCTGGGTGCTCCTTCTTGTGCTCCTCTTGGCAAGTTTGCACAAAGAATGCATAGGATGACATCTTGCCTCTCGGCTTCTTAGGATCTCCTTTGCCCATGTTTACTTGTTCTCCTCAGCGAGGTACAGAGCCGCCCAGTGCCCATCTGGCTCTCACTTGCCCCGGCGCTGTCTCTACGGAGCTCAGTGTACTGCTCCAGCTAATGCTGAGACAACCACTTGTCCGACTTGCCAACTGTCCTCAGCAATAATCCCAAAAGGCTTACACTCAAAGGATGACTACAAGCTGAAAGTTTTCATTCACGCAAACACTCATGAAGCACCATGCCTTGGCCCACAAAGCAATTTAACACTGAATACTAGAGGTTAAAACAGAGGGTGACTCGTTCCCACAACTCAGTGAAACACTGGGAAGGCCAGAGGCTGACCACTGCACAGCAGCCCATGCAAGCCACCAGACAGCTGGGGCCAGCCCTCCCCTGACCTGGGCGACTGTGGTCTTCCTGAGACTACCCACGTCCACCAGCCCCACCCTCCTGCCCACACATTCACATGCACGTCTCCCTGCTGTCCACCCCGGCCTGGCCCACCTGCAGTGCATGATGGACGAGTGGTGCTCCCCGTACTCCTCCTGCCCCAGCACAATGAAGGGCTGCTCTGCGCGGCCTCCGGCTCCCTCAGGCCCGGCTGTGGGCACCCAAGTGAGTGGCTCCACTGGCTCCGTATGGAGATCCTGGGAGGGCTCAGCTTCTGGGACACTGACTTCCGGCTTCTTTTCTGCACACTGTGGTCAGCAAAGCAGCGACAGGTCAGCTGGGAAGGGTCCCGGCACACAGGGGGAGAGTGAAGATACCTGGCGGCCATAGAGTTCAGAGCACAGCTTGGGCTGAGGCCCCCACTCTGCTCACCCCGGAGTACCCGCTGCCTGCAGACTCTGCTTCCACCACCCTGGCAGGACACGCCCTGGCTGCGACACAGGACTGGTCCAAGGGAGTGGACATGTTTAGGGAGAGTCTTTCAAGCACCAGTGCTGGGCTCAATGGTTTACAGATTTCCTCAATGTATCTTCCAAATCCATGAAACATGCTTTTATTTGCACCATTTACAGCTGTAGAAATTCCAGAAAGCAAGAGCTGGACATCCTGCTGCAGGTCACAGGGTGGCAGAGGACAGTGCTCGAGGCAGAGACAGGTTCATAGTGTTCCCCTGGTCCTTGAAGCACACCCCACAATGACTAGCACCTCTTTCGGGGAAGTGGGGACCGTGCCTGAGGAGCTGAGGCAAACGATCACGTGCAGGCAGAAGCCCAAGGTGCCAACTCCACAGCTACACTGTGTTCAAGACAAACCCCAGGCTCAGGAACACTGGCCCCTCTGTCCCGGTGTTTCTCACGTGGCCCTCAGGGTGGCCGCTACGTAGATTAGCTCAAAAGCAAAATGAGCTGAGATATGAGCATTTGAAATCTGTTCCTACCACACTAGAACAGCTCATTGCCAAAAATGCCACTAAAATAGGCAAGAAGCCCCCAAAGGAGGCAAGAGGCCAAGAAGGTGAGCCAGCACATCTGCTGACTTCTGTCTGCCGTCTGGGAATAGGCAGAACTGGAAGCAGCTTATCCTGCCAGGAGGTGCAGACCTGACCTACGTTCCCAGAACTCTAGGCCAGGTGCGGCCACAGGTGTCCGGGCCACAGCTCTCAGCACAGGTACCCGCAGAACAGGTAAAAGGGTCCCACAGGCAGGGACCAAGTCACAGGGAGTAGACCCAGTCTCAAAGCCTGTGGAGTGCAGCACGCACGGCCAGCCTGGGAGGGACCCGCAGGCCAGGCCCAGCAGCCCACTGCAGCCCCTCAGAGCCTTCCCACAGTCTGGTGTTCTCGGGCCCTGCCCAAGGAAATGCTGCCAGGGAAAATACTACACCCCAAACCAAAGTGCAAGAGTGAGGAAGACCACACCTGCACAGCAACGGGACTCGGGGGAGCTACGGAACACCCCATACCTGGGAGGAGGTAGTGGAGAAGAGCTCCTTCCGCTCCTTGCCATGGTCCTGCAGACGCCGCTGCCGCTGCTGAGCCCAGCTCAATTCCCCAGGGCCGGGCCCGCCCAGGAGGCTCTTCCCATCCTTGGTCCCAGCTGTCAAGTCCTTTCCCTTGGTGGTCTAGGGAAAAGAAATGGGCTGTGAATTCTGCTCCTGGATGTCCAGGCAGTGACGATGACCAGGAGGGGAGCAAATGCAGGGAACGGTTTCTCCCCAGCACTCCTGGTGGCCCGGGAGGAAGCTCAAGGGCAGGCAGAACTCCTATCAGGCTGAGCTCCCTCCTGCCCGTGCACACCCTCAGCCTTCTCTCTGTCATACCTGCACACAGGCAGAGAGCCTTCTTTACCTAATGGGAGGAATCCGGAAGGGTGAGAAGCCTGGCACTTACTAGGCAATGACCAAGGCAGGCCAGGCCCTGCCTCTGACATAAACATTTACACATAACTGTATGTTCGGGCAATATAAAAAACACAAGTGTAGCATGAATCCCCGTGGGAAAGGAAAGGGAACAGAATGCATCTCTCTCCGTGTGCCAGCTATGGGACTACCGCTAAGGTTAGCAAAAGCAAAGTGCTTGAAAATGACTGAAGACAACCAGAAATTTTTCACAGGCCTTGTTGGAAACCCAAGAATTTTTAAATAAGATGAATGGGACAGGAAAGAACCTGGATTTTCTGGCTCCTTTTTTTTTTTTTTTTTTTTTTGGTGGAACCAGGGATCGAACTCAGGCCCTTTCACTTGCCAGGAAGCGCTTATTCTACTGAGCCATCTCCCCAGCCCCTATCTGGCTCCTTTTCATACCAAGAGCAGTAAGGTCCACCAAGCCTATAGCAACAGAGAATGAATCCCAAAGTGTTCACCCCACCCCAAGACTTAGAGCAGCAAGCAGTCAAGAAGCCTGAAGACAGAGGTGTAGGGCGGCCGAGGTTCCGCACGCACTGTCCTGGGATGGCATCCACCGTGCCAATCGCACACACAAACCCACCCATTTCTCCCCTGTCCCTGACCCAGAGGAGACCGAGTGCAGCCTGAAGAGTTCTAAAATGTATCTCCAGAAGCTCTTCTCTGTTGGCAGGGTCTACACAGTGTACGGGAACTCTACAGTTAGTGATACGCAGTGCTGGGAAGATTGGTTTCCTGGGTGGATGGCAGTTGTCAAAGTGACAATGTCACAAAATCCTAGAGCAACTGTCATGCAGGCTTCAAAGATTTATCAACCTGCCAAAGTTACCTGTAAGCAAAATGTTATGGAAAATGGAAAACAACCCATGTAACATTGTAAGGAGAGCCTGCGAAGGGTATGGATGAGAGTGAAGGGAACGGCAGAGGAGACTCGGGGAACTAAGTAATTCTCAGGGTACAAAACAGGAGAACTTGGAAAGTACGAGGACAACTTGATAGAACTGAGTCTCAGAAGCCCTATGTTCAGTGCACTAAGAATAGACGCACGTCCTCAAACTTTAATGTGTCTCAGAACCACTGTAACTAAGGTAACTTCTTTGCACATCTAAATGGAAATCCAGCTTCTAAGGAAAAAAGTAATCATTTCTAAGGAAAATACGATCCGCCAGTAGTGACAGAAAACTTATTAGACTATGTGAAATCTACATAAAGAAAATTATAAAATATCCCAAAGAGACATAAAGCAGCTCCAACCTTTCTTTAAAAATTCCTTAGAGACTGGGTCTCAGTAAACTGTCCAGCCTAAACTCTAACTCACAATATTTCTCAGCCTCCTGAGTGGCTGGGATTGGAGACACACATCACTATGCCTGGTGCCTAACATCTTTGATACATGACAAACTTAAAAATCAAGGGGGGAAGGAGGGGAGAACAACGTTTATAATGAGAAATTGGAAGATCCTAACAGAACTTGTACAAAATGCACACGAATAGACTTTAAATAAGTGAAAAGATGCACTACTTAATTGTAATAAGAGAAATACATATTAAAACTGCACTCAATGGGCCAGCCAAATAGCTCAGGGCTGGCCAAATAGCTCAGCAGATTAAAGCACCTGCAAGCAGGCGCAGGGGCCGGGGATTCAAACCCCATGCCTGCTGTGCTGGCCCCACCTCTGGGATGCGCTGAGACAGCAATTGAGACTGGGTGTGGTGGCGCCTGTAATCCCTGCTCTTGGGAGGCTGTAAACAGGTGAATCACTATGAGTCCGACGTAGTAGTAAGACCCTGACCACTTTGTAGACCCTTCCCTAAAATTTAAAAAAAAAAAAAAACCCTGCACTCAAATACTGCTTCTTACCCATCCTATTGGCAGAAGTTCTAGAACTGGATGGATTGTGCTGCTGAGGTTGCAGGGAACCAGGAATTCTCATAAATTCCTGATGGGAAGGTAGGACGGTAAAACACAACTGAATGGAGGGGATGGGGGTTTTCTAGATTATTCCTGCAACTGTTTTATGAAGTTGAAACTGTAAAACCAAAAAAAAAAAAAAAAAATCCATAACAACTGTGGTTAAGAAATTCCATGGGGATAGACAGCTAGAGAAGAGTGGGGGTGTCCATCATCCTGCGTAGCCACTGAACGGCGACACCTGCACACTTGAGAAGCTCACCTCTTAATCCCAAACACTGACCCTGCCTCATACATCCTTATGTCCCTCACACTAGCACCCTGTCTGACGGGACGTTCATTAAGTGGTTGACTAAACACACAAGGGGAGGGACAGATGGATAAAGGATGAAATACATACAGAAGAAATGAATCACTAGAAGGAGAATCCCAACATGCACCACACTTACTCTATTACAAATTGGATCAAGCACACACACCAATAATCCCAGCAGCTTGGGAGGCCAAGGCAAAAGGAGGACATGGTTGAGTCTAGAGTGGGCAACTCAGACTCTAAACCAAAAAAAAAAAAAAATTTAAAGAAATGAGTGCTAAGTTTAACTTTTGTGTTTTTTACAAAAGGTTGGGATGTAGCTCAGTGCAGAGCCCCTGGAATCAGTCCTCAGTACCGTGAAAGAAGAGAGGGAGGACCGGTGAGATAGCTCAGCCATCTAAAGTTCCTTCTTAGGCAAGCTTAGGCATGCACACAGGGACCATGGTTTGGTCTGCAGCACCACATGAGGCGCCAGCCCCACCCCCAGTAGAGAGAGAGACAGAGAGACAGAGAGAGAAAGAGAAAGGAAGAAGAAAATTAGGTATCCTTTGTCTCTTAGCCAAGATTCTTAGAACCAGAATTGTTGGATTTGGGGATTTTTCTTCTATCCTGAGGGAACCAAAGATATCCTGGGTGTCTCTGGAGGGGCAACTGTCTTCATTTTGGCTGAACCTGGCTCTATTTCCGTGTACTAACGTGTGCCCAGCTGGCTAGGACTGTTCCTTCAGTTGGCTTTAAGCAATACAAATTGTCCAGCTGAAGTGCTGATGTAGTCTTTGAAGTGAAGACTAAGATGACAGTGCCCCCCACACCCCCAGCTCCCTAATAAAATATGTGGAAGCCACCTGAGGCAGGATGGAGAGCCTTGCTCCAGGCTGGTAGCTGGGATGGAGCCTGAGATTAAATGCTGTGACTTCCCAGGGTATTAAAGATTACACAGTGGACCTACAGCACTGACCCCAAAACATTAGATACTCCCCAAACTGTGTTATGCAGATCACTCTTTCCACACATCCTTTTCTCCGCGTATCAGAGGTAGGTGATTTCTGGCCTCCTACCTAGCCCAGCTCACAGCACTCAAGTATTTGCCTTTTTTAAAATTTTTATTTCAGGGAAGGGTGTACAGGGTGTTCAGGGTCTCACTACTAGATCAGACTCGTAGCGATCCGCCTGTTTACAGCCTCCCAAAAGCTGGCATTACAGGCGCGCGCCACCACGCCCAGTCTCAATTGCCATCTCAGCACATCCCAGGGGTGGAGCTCGCACGGCAGGCCCTGGGATAGAACCCCCGGACCCTGCGCCTGCTTGCAGGCACTTCAATCTGCTCAGCTATTTGGCTGGTCCTCAAGTGCCTTCCGACATTGTCATAGTCACTTATCCTCAAGCCGCTCCCCTTCTTCATGAATGAATAAAACACAGGTTTGGCCCTCAGTCCAGGCTTTCATTCTGGGTGGACATCATCACAGCTGGACGTAGGACCCCTTGGCTCCCCATAACGGCAAATATGCCTCAGTGTCTTTATTCTCACCTTGGGTTGTACTAGAAGTGGTAGACTGAAATTAGCTCACTAGAATTCCAATACCTTTTCCATGGAATTACAAATATAAATTTCTTGGGCCAACAGGTGGGCCAGCAAGCGCTCTCTATAATGGGAGTCAGACCAAACTCTAAATTTAAAACTCATTTATATACACAGCTGGAAGGTAACTTTATGCCATACTTTTAGAAATTCTGTTTCATACTGTGGAATTTTTCACTTGAGGTATCATGTCGGTACTCACAGTTTCAGATTCTGGAGCACTTTAGATTTCAGATGTTTAGATTAGACCTGCTCCATCTGCATACGCACACATCTGATGAGTATTTTGCTGACAATTTCATTTAGCACTGGGCTTTTGTGGATTTATAAAAAAGCTGGTTGGCTGTGGTCACGTGACTGAAGGTATTTGGGGGGAAGCGATCCCTTTAAGATGCACAAAGAAAAGGGAATCTGGCATAATCACACCAATGTCAAAACTTTTACAAACAAGTCTTAGAATACCCAGAGAAAAGAAAAGATTTTGGGGCTTGCTGTTTTGTTTTTTGAGGTACTGGGGACTAAACCTAGGAACACTCAGCTACGTTCCCAGCCCTCCCCCTTTTCTACTTGGAGACAGGGTTTCCCTCAGTTGCTAAATTGCCCAGGCTGGGCTCAAACTTGTGACCCTGCTGTCTCAGCCTCCTAGAGTATTGGGATTATAGGTATAGGCACCGACTGAAAAGAAGAGATTTTTAAAAGGAATTAGAATGAAGAATAATAGATTCTGATGCATGAAATACTGGCCATTTTCTGCTCCAAGAAGAAAGAAGAAAACATTTAAATGAATGAGTGATAAGTTCAACTCATACAGAGTAATGTAAACCTATAAGAAAGTTCTAGTCAAGCTAAAGCATAGGAGCAGGCACCCTGATGACAAGAATCTCAAAACAATGATAGGACTCTGTGTGGAGTCA